GAGTGTGTGTGCACCAGCGAGGGGAGGGGCAGAGGGAAAGGGAGAGAGAATCCTCAAGCAGACTCCCCGCTGAGCATGGAGCCCGATGCGTGGCTCGATCCCAGGACCCTGAGATCATGACCTGAGTCAAACATTCAACTGACTGAGCCACCCAGGTGCCCCCAAACTCCCTCCTTTTAAAGGGCTCCTGTGATTAGGTCAGGCACACCTGGATAATCTGTCTCAAGTCAACTCATCTGGGACTTTAATTACATCTGTAAAATCCCTCTTTACAGCAGGACCTAGATTAGCATTTGGTTGAATAATGAGGAGAATATGTGTGTACACCAGAGCTGGGAATCCAACGGGGCCATCTTGGATTTTGTCCAGCGCATGCACCTCCTTCTAAGGAAACTATAAAGCCCAAGTTAGCAAGTTTATGTGACGTACCTGGGCCAGATCAAGCATGTTTCAGGTAGGGGGTTTGCATGCAAGTAATTAGCCAGTTGAGTTCCCAGGACTGATGAGAACTTCGCGCGGTGAAAGGAGAGTGTTGGGGGTTGGGAACAAGGGAACAGCTGACTGACGTCCTCCGGTGCTTGGCCGAGGGACTTGATTTTGATATACTTGGACATAGGAAATGCCTGTCCTCCTTGGACGAACACCCCTGAGATCCTCCCTGATTTCAGTCTTTGCTGCCGTAATGGTAGCATGGTAAAGACTGGGCTCTGGAATGAGGGAGAAGGGACCCGAAAATGGCCTCTGGATCAGCCCTCTCAGAAACCATCTGTTTGGAGTTTGTGGCCCTGAGAAGACAGGAGAGATTTCCTCCAGCTACAAGCCCAGGGACACAAACTGCTAAGATAATAGCTCTTCCCAAATCAGTCAAACAAAGCTCTGATTGGAAAAGAGAAATGGAAGTCAGGATTCCTACTCCCTCTGCTAACCACACACAGGTCTGGTCGAGGTCCATTTGCAGACCGAAGGAAGCCATTTCCTTTCTTAGCCTGGCATCACTGGCAGAAGAATCAGACAAGGGGCCGAGGGCCTGGTGACTCTGGGAGAAAGGCAAGTGGCCGACATCCAGAAGGAAGAATCTGGACATTTAGCTGCTGGGCGAGTTGAACCGCCTGCTCCGGATCAATGCGTGCTCCACATGGTCTGGGGCCGGCTGGAGACCAGCAAGAAAGAGACAACGAGGGGCAAGTGAGGGGAGAGACAGAGGGGGTGAGAATAAAGAGAATGTATTTTTCACTCCCAGATGCCATGGTGGGAAGAAGCGTTGCCTTCAAAACCCCCTAGACCAGACAGTTCTCATTTCCAGCTGGCTTCTTTTTCATCTCCCCTGGCTCCTTCTCCCCTCCCCTCCCCCAGCCCGCCGCCCCTCCTCTATCTGCCTCGCCTGCTGGATCTTCTCAAAAGCTTCCCTGGAAAAACTTGAGCCAATTTACTCCCCTTAAACAACTGTCATCTTTGAAAAGCTGCCCAGGCTCTTTGCTGTGATTTTCAAAGGGAAACTCGGGGCTAGGCTTGCTTTCGGTGACAGCAAGTAGGTAGGAGGAGAAGGAAAGACAGGTGCTTCCTGTCGCTGGGCTGGTGGGAAAAACACAGATACACACATCCACGCTTCTGAGAAATGCTGACACTGTCATTGTAGGAAAATACAACCTTCCCGATACCTGAGGGAACGTCAAGAAGGAAAAGCAGAGAGTAGGGAACTTGGGTTTGTGTGGTGGCTGCTGGAATTTCGACACCAGGGGGGAGGACCCTGTTTGACCTTGCCTGCCAAGACCAGAGGGTTACAGAGGAGCCAACCGAAGCTATGTGGGCAAAGGGCCAGGCCAAGCTGGCTACTTCTGACACGTCAAAGGACAGATGTTGTCTGGCTTGGGCAGCTTGTGGGCAGAGAAGAAACCCAGCCCACAAGCCCAGGAAGCCCGGCCTCTAGGAGGTAGGGGATAGCAGCAAGGTGAGCAGTTGTCTGTGTGCCAGGTAAGCCCTGCCTTCCGCTGTTACTTTGAAAAAGGAGAAGGCTTCGTCTGGCTGGTTGGTTTCTGGCCTTGAAGTCATGCAGACTACGTCCCCTTGCTCCATGCCCTCTCTCTGCTTTTCACTATTCAAGACAGGTGCCAAATATGTCATCAGGCCTGATGGAGCCTGGCGTTGGCTCGCTCGCTGTGATCAGCGACGAACGACCTGACAGAAACACTTTCCCTGATTGCATTTTTAACTTGGATTGTGCCACACTTAGTTACATTTTGAGGGAGGAAGGAGAGGAGGACAGGAGGGAAAAACAGTGGGTTGAGGAAGTTTGCAGAATGCCTGAGTGTCAGATAGCACGAGGGAGTCCACCCGGCACACGATATATCTTTGGCATTTCAACTTCACCAAATATTGACATCGAATTAACAAAGATTGATTGAAGACCTAAAACATTCAAAATGATGTATAAGCTCCATCTTCCACTAAAATAAAAAAGGAATGTGCTGGGGGGAAAAACAGGTCATTACCTACCTTTTATTGGTAATGAGCTCACGTTGGAGAAAGATACCTTCCAACTTCATACCATTACTTATTAGCGTGGTGGTTAAAAAAAAAAAAATTATTCAGACTAATGATCTCTTCCGGGCAAAGGGTGAAGAATGCCGATTTGGCTTTAGCTTATCTCACTACCTGAAACTGTCCTGGTGTGGCAGATGGCTTGCTGCTACAATTATTTTGGATAGCAGTTAATGTTAGGTAATTATTGGCATGGTGGCATCCATATAGGTCTATAAATCTCTAGTTTTTAAATATTGGCTGGGTTGTGGCTGCAAACAAGGAGGGCTTGTCCGTGCAAGAGATACACAGTTTGTAAGGTCATTCACTGTTTCTTCCTTTGCTGTCTGTTCTAATTATTTGCTTGCACAGAACTCTGGAGCCTTCCCTGGCCCAGAGTAGCCACAGAAGCCCATAACAGCAGGTGTGCGGGCTTCCTCAACACTCCCATGTGCTTTGTATTCGCCAGGGCACTAGCTGGCTTCAGGTAATGAGTGACTCTCTCTGACAACAGAACTCTGAGCGTGATTCAGATTCACACTGGCTACTGAGTCTTCCATGTTCCATTTTTAACCTGACATAAGTAATAGCACATAGGCTTGTTAGTATCATCCCATTGATGTTTACCATACAGGTCGGGGGAAGGTAGGTGTTCTCTGTGTCTGAGGTCAAGTTTCAACCCTGGAGAGTGCAGCTTCCTCTCCTGTTACAGCCCACAAACCTCACTTGGGATCTCAAGGTATTAAAAGGGAGAGGAAAATAAATATCACAACTGTCACACTCAACCAACCACACAAAACTACCCTGTTAGCTCCGAATACAGCAAGGTTAGCAGTCCCCATTGGTCGATCCTCTGTTAAATGACCAAAATCATTTCTGGCCAGGAAATGTGTTTTTGTGACACATGATGGTGTGGAGGTCAAGCTCAAAATCGATTGTGGGACACGTTGGTGAGAAAGATTTTTTGCTTTTCTGCCAAAATATTCCCCTGGACTTTCCTTCAAGATCCGAAGGAACATAAAGAAGTGCAAGGCCACAGAAATATGAATACATGAACGCTGATCTGCGATTACAAAAGCAAGCGACTTTGCTCATAGTCCCCTCATTCTCGAATCTTCTACAGATGTGTAGACAATTTTTCTAAGGGCAAAATTTCCTAGACCATTGATCCCGACGCCCACATTATTGATAAAATCAAGGTAATGTTGAACATGACAGTGTCTGAGAAGCAATCTCAAACTGCCTTTTTATTACACACAATTAGCAATGAAATGGAGAACCATCTCCTTTCTAATATAAAGTCATCAGCCACAGAGCTGCAATCAAAATTCACCACAGCGATTTCAGCCAATAGCTCTCCATTTCAGCCCTTTCTGCTTTCTGAACGTCCTCCCTCCCTCCCTCCCTCAAGCCACAGCCGGTCTTAGCACTACAGAATAATGAGCAAACAGTTAAACTGGGCTAGCACTGAGCTTCTACCGAGATTTATGGCCTACCCACCCTCAGCGGGGACTATAAAACCCTCCGATGACATCTCACTTTGAAATCTCTTGTATTAAGAAAAGTAATGGGTGTGGTGCAAAAATGAACTCTAGATGTGAGTGATATTTAGACAAGTCTGTACTTCAAAACAGAGGTTCTAGCTCATGTGAAGGTCTCTGTCGTTAGCTGGGGATCTCAGTATTGACTATTCCTCCCTCTCCAAACCAACCCCCTTCCTGCCCTTTTACAAATACATCTTCTTAATTGAATCCTAAATAGGTTTGGGCTCCCCCCCCCCAACATTTTGCTTTGGATTTTTAAAAATTCCCAGGCAGATTTTTATCTCCTCTGTGAAAGCATCAAACCGCAGATCCAAATCAGCCCAAATTACCCCAATGCTAAAACCACCTTCAAGTTAGAGCACTAGCCAGAGGGACAAGCCACGTTTTAAATAGAACAGGTCGGTGACCAGGTCAGGGACCTAAACCGTTTACTTTCTGCCCCAGCTGGCCTCTTGTGATCCCTGACCTGGGCAGAGGAATAAGTTAAGAGAATGAGCTGGGTTTTCAGGGAGTAGCATTGCTTTCTGGAAGGCGCCCAGGTCTAAAGCTAAGTGCGGAATGCGAAGCAGCTCCGGAGTCGCTCTATTTGGGAACCTATTCTGAAACACCCAAGTCCTGCAGCGGCTTCCCACATCAGGACAAGGAGAAAGAGGGGGACAAGGGCCCAGGGGACAGAAGCGGGGCTACGGAGTGTACAAAGCTCAAGGCGAGAGGCTGAGAGCCTTTCTTTGCTGTGCCGCTGAAGCACAAACTTTTTCTCCCACTGAGATGCACTCGGGGCTGAACTCTGCCGTCTGCCCACAGCTGGTGGGGTCCGGGCAGGGAACACCCGCCGCGCAGCTGGCCGAGCTGCGAGCGCCGGGCGGGGGCGGCGGCGGCCGGGGGCGGCGGGGCTGGGCGGAGCGCGCGCGGTGGGCGCCTGGCGCCCGGGGTCCTCACCTGTTCCAGCGGGCCACCTTCCTCCGGTAGTACCGCAGCGCCTCCTGGCTGGCCAGGAGCGAGTCCTCGGGCCCGAGGAGCGGTGGCTCCTCCGGGACGCGGTACAGCGGGTGGACGAAGAGGGCCTGCAGCTTGGAGCCGCGGCCGCCGTGCCGCTCAGTCCCGGGCCCCGCTCGGGAAAAGTTGCGCGCCGCCGCGCGGGGGGCCGGGGAGGCGGCGGCGGAGTCCGGCGCGGGGGACGAGGCGCGGCGGGCGCACGGGCAGCCCCGCGGGTGCTCCCGGGACCGCAGCTGGCGCCGCACCTGGGGCCAGAGGTGGAAGTAGAGGTCGGCGGAGAGCAGCGCGCCCAGCAGCAGCAGAGTCAGCAGGCGGTCCCGGCGCAGCCCCGGCATGGCCCCGCCGGGGCGCGCGGGCGTCTCCGGGGACCCGGGGCGGGCGCTGGGCGCCGAGGGCCGGCCGGGGTGCTCACCGCGCGGGATCGCCCCTCCTCCCCTTGGAGGGGTGTCGCCCCTGAACTTGGGGACCCGCGGCGCTGGCGGGCGTCCCTACTCCGCGCGGAGTGGAGACCAGGGGATGGTGCCTCCGGGCCCCGGTCTCCGGCACCTTCTCTCCCCGCGCCGTCCGCCCGGCAGCCCGCGGCAGGGAAGGGCCGGGGTGAGGCGGGGGGGTGGGGTCGCGGGTGCCTGTTGCCGCCCGCGGGCGGAAGGGCGGCGGGGCCGGGGGCGACGGCGAGCGGGAGCGCGGGATGCGGGCGGCGGCGCTCGCCTCCGGGCGGAGGAAGGCGGCTGCGGAGGCTCGGGCGTCTCTCCAGAGGATGCTGTCGCTGGGCGGGCTGCGGCGACTGTTCCCCGCGGCTCCGTCTGCGGGTGGCAGGGACGCCCGTGCCCCCGGCTGCTCGGGGCGAGCTCGTCTGCGCGCCCGACTCCTAGAGGCAGAGGTGACGCCGGGCCTCCCCCGCCTGGCCCCGCGCCCGCCCCTCCGCCCCTCCGCCCCCTCGCAGCTGGCACCTGCCTCTGGCGCAAGCTCGCCAGCCAACTCCCGGTGCCTCTGCCGGCTCTGCCCTTGCACCTTGTCACCCAGCCCGCCTCTCGCGCCCAACCCCCCTCGCCCCAGGCCTCCCACTGTCCCTGCTCGCGGCGCAGTCCAGGCACTTTCGGGGACTCAGGGTGTGTGTGTGTGTGTGTGTGTGTGTGTGTGTGTGTGTGTGTGTGTGCTTGCGCGCGCGCAACCTTTTATTTTCATTTTCCTTTTTCAGAAAAAAGACAATCCCCCCGAAAGTCTTTCTTTAAGATTTGTCAGATGTGTGTGTGTGTGTGTGTGCGCGCGCGCGCGTGTGTGTGTTGTCTTTTGCTTCTTCCTATCTTCCTGCAGGGCACACACGAGGTCCACAACAACTGCATGTCCCGTGCCTGGCACCTAGTAGGCACTCAGGAAACACCCACTTAAGGAATAAAAAAGTTTGTTCTTTAAAAATAAGGCACGAATTTTACCTAGAATCTTGGTGATTTCCTGTTTGGATGGAGTTTGATTCCAACTGTGCCTGCCCTTTACAAAGAGGAAATTTCTCCTGTACTCAAGGAGGGAGGGGCCTCTCGATGACCCCACTCTGAACTTTTTTGCATTTAGCTTGGTGTGAAAGTGGTCCACCCAAATGAATCACTGGAGGACACATGTTAGACTTTCTTCTGATAGCTCGTGAAGTAATTTATACTCCCCCACCTCATTTCCCTTTTGAGGAAGAGGGAGGGGAGGGGAGGAGGCAGGCCAGGCCTGGACTCCTGGCTCCTCTATTTAATGGGGGAGGGCGGGATTGAAGTGCAAGTCTGACCAGAGAGGCAGCCCCACTGTGCTGAATGTTCAGGAAAATGAATCTTTGCCATGAGCTGCCTGTCCAGACATGGAAGCTTCCAGTGTATGTTAATCCTGCTCTTTAACCGCCTCCTTCCCTTGCTGGAGTCAGGAATCCTCAGACACACTTTGGCTTGTGGGTTCAGATCAGAGTTTTTTGCCCTGTGGTTCAGCAGGAGATTCTTGGGCTCTTTGCCATCCCCCTCAACTATAACTGAAGATAATGATAGGACCTACCCGGTAGGGTTATTGTGTGCTTGGAACAGCCCCCAGCACGTGGTAAGTAAGTATGATATATGTGTTTGCTAGAAATATTATGACTTCTCGGTTCCTGTGGCACACTGGGTTAGGTTAGATACTATTTATGAGCGGAGCAAGAGTGATAGAGTATGGGAAAGGAGGATGTCGGACAGGGACTATTTTCAGGAGCACATCACGGCCTAAAAGCTCAGTCCAAGTGAGAAATCTCAAGATGATGCTCTTGCCACCTGCTTCCCTCTGCTGGGTATGGTGGTGGGCGTTTGTCGATCTTGTTGAATGATCTCCTTCTTTTTATCTGGAATGAACTTTTAACTGGTCCCGTTTCTGAGAAACATTGCAACTCCTAATGCGTCCGATTAGGCATCATGGCCAGGGGATGAAGAAGTCAGGCACTGACCCGGGCCACATCTGCACTCTGTGGCAAGTTGGTGTGCATTTTTCTGGGTTGGCAAAGGACATGGGCATGAGGCCATTCCCCGGCCTACGACTCCAGTTCTCCCCTATTCATGGGGTCATACTCCCTTAATAGACTCTGTTGTCTGGCCTCAGCTCAGGGAACAGTATTTCTAACTTGATTAGAGATTATCTAAGCACGTTTCCCCTGCCCTATCAAGGTCAAGGACAAAACTCCCCGTAGAAGTCAGATGTTAAGTGTGAATGAGGTTGGGGAGGGAGGGGGGATACCCTCGGGGCAGGACTGGCCAGTCAGATGCAAGATGTCCTCAATATCCTCTTCCCCCTCTCAGAAATGGGCTTTGCCCTTCTGCTCCTGCTCTGACTCTCCCCATCTTGGCCCCTGGCTTCCTCATCTACATCCCTTCAGCCCACATCCAAGTTATTCCCAACTGATGTTTACCAGAGCCTGACATTCTGGGTCAAGCCTCCCATTGTAAATCCTTCCCTGCCTTTCCGTTCCCACGGCTCTTGAATGCAGTCAGGGTCTCCTCATTTCTTGCTTAGACTCTTGCAAATAGGCTCCTAACTGGTCTCAGCTTCCAGTGTGGCCCTATTGCAGTGTCCACCTGTGTGATGATAGAATCAAAACTTTGGCCAGAGTGAGCTTTCCAGCATGCAGATACAACAATGATGTCCTGTTGAAAAGCCCGCGTGGCTTCTCATTGCGTCTGGGTTAGGCTACTCACTGTGATGTGGCTCTTCATGGTTTGGCTTCTGTCTCCCCTTCCTGCTTCATCTCTCAGCTCTCCTATGCCCTTCAGGTTTCACCCCATAATACTTTTTGCAGTTCCCCAAGTGCTTCATGCTCTGGTAGACATGGCTTTATTCAAAAGCTCTTTTGCATTTCCCCACCTGGAGAATGTCTATTGTCTGCCCAAGCTGTGGCCCCTTTTCCCGCTTTCTCAGATGCCTTCCTTCATGCCTGTTAAGCTCAGTGCCATGTGCTTTCATCTACCCACGTAGCTTTTTGCATACACTCCGATTAAAGCATTGACCAGGTTGTGTTTAGCTGTTTGTATGAGTTAGAGATTGAGATATACCCCCCACCCCACCCCTGCCAATTTATATGTTGAAATCCTAACCCTTAATACCTCAGAATGTAATCTTATGTGGAAATAGGGTCATTGCAGATGTTGGTAGTTAAGATGAGGTCATATTGGAACAGAGTGGCCCCTTAATCCAATATAAATGGTGTCCCAATAAAGAAGGGAAATTTGGACCTGGAGCTATGCACACCGGGGGATCTCCATGTGAAGATGAGGGCAGAGATCAGAATCATGCTTCTTACAAGCCAAGGAACCCTAGAAATGGCCAGCAAACCACCAGAAACTAGGTAAGAAGCAAGCAGCTGATTCTCCCTCATAGTGCTTGGTGGAGATTATCCCCGTCAACATCTTGATCTCAGACTTGTTTGCCTCCAGAACCATGAGACAACACACTCCTGTTTTTTAAACCCCCAGTTTGTGATCCTTGTGACAGGAGCTCTGACACTAACACAGTACTCATGTCTCTCTTCCTCACTCAAGTGCAGAGGGAGAGTATTACTTATCTCTGGGCCCGAAGCTCTGAAGACAGGGCCTATCACTTGCAGGAGAAGTTTGAGCTCAGTGAATGCGGGGAAATCTTTGAGGCAGGGATCTCAAAGTCGTCTCTGAAACTGTAGGGTATCACAAAAAGCCTGGTACATGGAGGGGCTTCACTATGGGTGACATTAAAATGACATAGTTTTAGGCCCTGTAAGAGACACAGAAGAAGTATCAGACATGGCTCCTGCTTTCAAGCATCTTTTATGATTATTAGAGAAAAGAGATCTGTCCATACCTACAAGACAATAGAGAAAAAGTCTGACGCAGTATGCTGGCCAGATCAGGGAATCCGTGCCTCTGCATGCATTAAGGGATCAAATGCAAAGAGCACTTGCGTTTCCTTTCAGTCTAGCTAAAGATCAAGCTCTTTACTTTCAGGAATTAAACCATAAGAACAGCAGAGTCAATATTTAAACATAAGGGTTCCTCAATCTGTGAAGGTTATACTCTGTTTTTATCTTGCACATGTCTGCATGTTGCTTAAAACACAACTAGTCGTTTCTTGTTTGTGTGGTTGGTTTTCCATGCTGGACTCTTAACTCTTGAGTACAGGGCTAGCACACTTTCTTCTTTTTCCTGCTTCTATAGGATCTCGTGCATAGCAAGGCATCCAGCTGAGAATGAACACATTCCTATGGGATCAGTGCTGTTTGTGTATGTGGGTCTAGGTCTGTTCATGTATGGGGGGATGATTATGAAGTGTATTTAAAGTAAAAATCTGGATTTATAAAATCTGGCCCTAGATAAATGTTAGCTGTTATATTTAATTGGAATATCTAAGTTTTAGGAATCTTAATGGACCTATTGAAAGGGCAATAGGTAAGAGACATATAATAAACTCTGTGCTAACTGCAGTTATCTGTGTCTTTAAGAGTTGTTGCTACCATACAGATGTGTGAGGGCTGTGTTACTGTTAACTTCTAGCTGTCTCAGCCTATCCCTGAAAGAGGAGGAAGGCAGCTCAAGTACTGTGAATGGCGGATCCTGAATCCAGTGAGATTAGAAGTGCTTTGGTGTCATACCCAGTCTCTTCTTCTATTCTGAGCTAGAAAGAACAGAACTTTCTTTTCATGACCAAGACATAATGCTTCAGTCTAGGCCAGACATTTCTCCTGGTGCAGCCTATGCATCAGAATCACCTAGGGTGTATACAAAAATGCAAATTCTCAGAGCCACACGCTAGATCTAGTGAATCAAAATCTTTGGAAGTAAAAAAAAAAAAAAAAACCTTTGGAAGTAGGCCCAGGAATGTGCAATGTTGATAAGCTGATTCTTAACAGCTTATAAGTTTCTGTGCACCCTGAGGTCCAATTCTGATAGACACTGAAGTTGGGGGAAACATTGGTTGAGAAGATAGTGCAAATGATAACAGTCATAGATTTGATTCCAAATGACCTAGCTAGGATCCACTGTGCAGTGTTGGCCATCCAACTTGTGTCATAAGATCATGAGGGAACTTCTAGAGAGAGTGTGTTTGGCCCAACACGATCTATCTTGGCTATTGCTGTTGGAGGAAAGAAACAAGCAACCCTGGTGCCAAATGGTGGGTATGTAGTGTGA